TTCTTCCTCGAGCCTCAGATAGCCCACTGCCGCGTACGCATATTCACCGGCGTCTACAAAGACGTGTAGCTCGCTTGTTACTCTTTCAGCGCTTGTTGTGCAAAAATAGCATCTGGGTATTCTTATATCCTGTACCCTCGGCAGAAAAGACAACCATTGCATCCACTCGTCGTGAATCTCTGATGGAAGGGTGTCATCCCATCCTATACCACTTCGCCATACCTTCTGTAGCAATATTTTTAATGTTGATTTTTTGTTAATATATTTACAATTACATATTATTACCGGAGCGCGTTCTCGGTCCCTGAAAAAAATTCAAAGTACGAAAGAATGCGTTCCAATGGCTGAAATCAAATGACTAACAAAAAGTGACTAAAAGAATGCAATCCAGTGGCTGAAATCAAGTGACTAACAAGAAATGAATAAAAAGGTGATTTATGAACCATAGATCAAAAAAAAATAATAAAGACTAATTTTTTTTTAGTCTTAGTCAGGACTAACAAAAAATGATTGCAATCACTCGGGACTTCAATCAAATGAATAATTTAGTTAAAAATGATTGCATTCTTTAACACATGTATGCATGTACTACATACATACAAGTAAAATATAAATAAATTTAAGTAACACATACATAAAAAAGCTAAGTTAAAAGCATTGCAGTCGCATCATCCGCGTCTTTGCTAATTATCTTTACGCTACCACGACAAAATCACATACAAGCCGCTCGGCGTCTGTAGCAAACGACAGCGAGCATGTTGGCGCATATGTGCGCGCAGATGTTCGTCGTGTGTAGCCAGTTTTATTTGAAAAAGTCGAAAAGAAACGGTTATTCGATTAAGTGAAGTCGATTATTTTTCGAAACAACTTCCCTGCAAGAAGCCTGACCTATGGTTAAATTAGTTGGAAAACTGACTAAAACTTTTCGTCAGTTTAGCGGTTAGTTGTGTATGGGCTTGGCGGAAAAAGTCAACACTTCTCCGGGCGTGTGATAGTGTATCCCTTTCTTGCACACACATGGGCGCATTTGCCTTACAGTATGTTCACTCGCTCATACATGTCTAGGGATGTATATTTAAGAAAGTATCGATATCATTTATTTATTTATTTAGTCTACTGAAAAATGTTTTCTTATACTATGTCTCCATTGTGAGATTTAATGAATATTTAGCCCTCTGACGAGATTTGACGTTAAGTCTTTTGAGATTACCATATAAAATTAAATCTCGAAAGGCAGTAGATTTAAGTTAAATCTTCGTCAAATCTTCAATAATATTGATCAATAAGTACAATTTGTTGGATGTGGCAACCACAAATTCACATGCCATAAGTCAAATGACATTTGTGTTTTCAATATACAGTTGAGGACATTGAAATCTAGCCTACCATAAGAACATTAATTTTCGTATTTTTAGGGATTTTTATATTTTTGTTAGTTTGGGAGGAAAATTAGTAATACATATTTACATAACTTTGGTTGTAATAATATAAGAAAATATTTTTTTAAAAACCAAAAATTTTGAAGAAATGTTTTATAGTAATATCATGCAGAGTCTTCTCCGCTTTCTATAAGTCATTTACGCGCTGCGACAAAAAAATTTATAAATTTCGGCAATGGTTCTGCTTCGATAACATTGCACCGAACATCCTTTAGAACTCAGTTCGTATTCATGATATGCCAAAGGCCCACGATTGGATTTTCGGTTCCCTCTTATTAATAAGAGAGTTCTACAAAAATTTTTCTTTCCGCAAATGGTTTTTACCGTTTTGATAATTTTTCTTAAATTCGGGAAAATGATTCGGAATATGGTGCCATTCTTTACACTTTCCAAACTATATATTATACATATATATTTACCACGAATAAGAAGCCAATAATATTCAGAATTCATATAATGAAATTCCGCTTGGTACCTTCCTTTTATCTGTCTGTATATCAATGTCCTCAACTGTATTTATAAAATCATACATAAGCAAACGTCAAATATTTAAAAATGTGAACGTCAAACATATCTCGTTGTGGTAATGGAGACGGTTGTGATTTAGCAATTGGATTTATTAAATCTTAATGGATAAATCTCTCAATGGAGACATAGTATTACAGACAATTGAGATGAAAAGATTTAGATATTTAAGTATGTACGATATATTACAGAGTAAACTTATTATACATATTAACTTGTAAAGATAATAATGATATACAATAGCAATTTGTGTAGCTGGAGAGGCCTAGTCTCCAGTCTACTTTTGTGTGCGGCGGGCGGAAAGACCTAGTTTCCGCTCCGCACTGTTTACAGGCCGTTGATCATAGTCGGAAAGGCCGAGCTTCCGATCCATGTTCCCGTAGTCATTACTTTGTATGTGAGGCAGGCGGAAAGTCCTAGTTTCCGCTTAGCGCTATAGACGAACTGTTGGGCGTGGTCGGAAAGGCCGAGTTTCCGATCCCTGCTCGTATTGTCCTACGCGGTCGCGAAAATATACGAAGCCGTTACGATTGTACTAAGCAGTCATATACTACGTTTATACGCACGTATAAACTATATAAAATGGTATAATTTGCCGTATAAACGATGAGTTAATTTTTTATTTGCAAATAACTAAATCACGCAAATAAGTATTGATTAGTGGTACTATTTGCAAATAAGCGCAAAACGCCGCCATTCTTAGGTTTATTTTCTTTTTCGATGGTCATCTTATTGCCTTTTTATAATCAAGACGTTGTCATTTTTAACTTTATTTTCTTTTTCGAATCAGGCAATATTAAAAAAGAATTTTTCACCATCGAATAAGCAGTGAGATAGGTATTTGCAAATTATTTTTATTTGCAAATAGCTTACATATAAACGTAGTAACAGATATTGTATAATTTTTTCGTTCACGGTTACAAATATTAGTTTATTTAGCTAACTTGTTGAGCAAAGTTTTCTTTATTACAAAAAGCAATTCAGATGTGTCGAAGCAATCATAATGTTTGTTAAAATCTTGGCATAAACACCGAAAAGCATCATGCATTTCAAAGTTTGATTTACAAATACTCAACACAATAGGTTTAAAATGTCTCGTGGGTCTTGTAGGAATACAAAAATTTATCTCACTCAGTAAAAAGGGACTACTGACCATCCCGTTCATTAATTTAATTAAAAAAAGAACACCAAGCATCTCTCTACGACTCTGAAGCGTCGGCAAATCTATAAGCTTCAGGCGATCCTTGTAGGGTGGGAGATTTTTAGACGAGTCCCAACATAAATTTTTGAGGGCAAATAACAGGAACTGTTTCTGCACTGATTCGAGCCTGTCACTATGAATTTGATAGCTAGGATTCCATACTATAGATGCATACTCCAAAATCGGTCTAACTAGAGAGGTAAAGAGAACTTTAGTGACATAAGGATCGTTGAACTCCTTGGCCCAGCGCTTAAGAAAAGCCAACAATCCTCTAGCCCTAATCACGCAGGAGTTTATGTGAGACTTGAATTCTAGTTTCGGATCCATAGTTACACCTAGGTCAATGAAATTGGTCACTTGCTCAACATTGTGGTCAGATATCATATACGAATTTGGATAGAACGATTTTCTAGAGAAGGTCATGAATTTACACTTTTTCAAATTTAGTGACATGGAATTTGCTTCACACCATTCGAAAATGCAGGTTAGGTCAGCTTGCAAATGCTCCCTATCTTCTGCAGTACTAATGTACTTAAAGAGCTTAACATCATCAGCGTACATTAAGCATTTCGAGTAATTCAACACCTTAGGAAGGTCATTTATAAATAAAATAAACAAGACGGGACCAATATGGCTGCCCTGAGGTACGCCGGATGTGACATGTATTGGCCGGGAGGTACAATTTTTAAAAATTACTCTTTGTTTCCTATCCACTAAGTAAGAAGAAAGCCAGATGAGAAGAATAGAAGGGAAACCAATTCGATCACGTTTATATATAAGGGTTGAATGAGATACTTTATCAAATGCCTTGCGGAAATCAGTGTAAATCACGTCCGTTCGAAGATTGTTTTTAAACCCATTAGACACATAAGTAGTGAATTCAAGAAGATTGGATACAGTTGATTTACCTTTGCAAAAACCGTGTTGCGATAGATCAATAGCAGAAGTAATATAGTGAGATAGTTCTTCCGTAACGATTGCCTCAAAAACTTTAGAAATAGCAAAAAGCTTCGCAATTCCTCTATAGTTTACGATATTAGTCCTACTTTCATTTTTATAAAGTGGCAAGATAAACGAATCCTTCCAGGAAGATGGAAAGACATCCTGTTTTAGGAAAGCATTAAAAATATTTGTCAGAGGCTTATACGAATACTCTGCACAACTTTTAAGAACACTTGTGGGTATACCGTCTGGTC